TGTTATTCTTCATATATATATATATATATATATATATATATATATATATATTACCTTGTTATACATTACTGTGTAAGAAATCAAAATCTTTATGTGTAACTTTGGGTGGGAGAAAAAGATAAAATTATGTAGCTTTCAAAGCTTTCTTTTTTTTTCATTTTAATGTAATTTTTGTAGTTTCTGCATTATTCGTCTTGGAATATAATAATGACAGCTAAGTGAAAAACATTAGTTTATTTGCTTCAAGTCAAATTTATGAATTGTTTATTTCTTCCATATTATTCCAATTCCTATTGGAAAAAGTATGACTTGGAAATAGAGTTATTGTTGAGGAACTCCCTCAAATTTCATGGAGTCGTTTGGATAAATTCTTTCCTATGTTAGAGGATATTTAATCCTAGGATATAAGGTTCTTTTAAACAAAGGAACTACTCCTAATTTAAATTAGTACTTGCATTGTTAATTTTTATTTTCTTAACAATTATATTAGTATATGATAATTTTGTTCATCTTGTTCATCATCCAATTCAGCGTTGCGTGTGCTTGTCTTGCATTTAATGAAGATCAGCAGCACAAGATTGCTGTCAAAGGATGGCGAAGCTCTTCTAATGAACTGAAAAGTGAAGCTCAACGTTTCTTTAACTGTTGTGGGTTTGAAAACTACACTTTAGGACCAGAGGAGAAAATGGGACATCCATCCTGTTGGGGGGTATGTACATCAGTAATGTGTAATGTTGTATGTTGTTATGATTTAGAATAATTGTTAATATTTGATTCTTTTGTTTTTAATAAGACATTTATATAAATATTGCTGAATATGAATTAAAATGTCATTACATTTTTGATAAAGATTAGCGTTACACTGAAACACACATACACACACACATCGTACGTATAATCATGGTGAAAACTAGAATTCCAGTACAATCACTCATCTCTATACACAGAAAGCTATTTTCCTCTTGAGATCGTGCTATCTGCCCAAGAGACTTTCATGCTACCAGCTTTGTGAAAACTACTTAAAAGTCATGTGAATGATGTGAAATTGTGTTACTACATGATGGCAAAACCCATGCAGCAAAACCCCCCACCAATAGGAGTATGACACACCTTCTTGCACAAAAGCTCTCCCTACATTCGTAAGTGTATTATGTCATTCTTTTCCTTAGCATGGTTGTGTTCAGATGGGGTTTTCATTGTTGAGACTTGTAACAAACTTTTTCACTCGTACAACTTTGTGTCTTCAAGTTCTCTACAGTATGAATTCACAATTCACTGTACTTTCATCTTCACCTAATATGAGTGACAATAACTCTCACAATGACCAATTTCCTAACAATTCTGGAAGTGTTTTGTCTGTGGACAAAATGGCAAACATCATCCAATATGTGGTAGGGTCCATGTTGCTGCCTGGACCCTCTTCTCCCACACCTGCCACAATTTCCCATTCCAGGATTTAAAGGTAGAAGTTAAGGAGGATAAAATGGGATGACTTCTACTGCCTGGATTTGCCTTGGATACCTCTATTCTTTCTAAAGAAAAAGTTCATTTCTCTTCAGGTTTCCAAGACCTTATCACCCAGATATGTACCATTCTTTCTTTTACCCCATTACTTATGACACTTCATGTTTCTACACAATTCTTCCCCTCATTATTTTTTTTTGTTTTTCTTCTTTCTCCAGATGTTTCTGTCCATGCTATCTTCTTTCTCAAACAGCTTCATTCCCACAATATTATACTACATCCTCCTCACCAGCCTGATTCCTACTTTCTCTCAGTCCTTAGAGTCAAAAAACTGATTGAAGCCTTGGAATAATTTAGGAAAAGGCTTTTGGAATGAAACAACAGGAACAAGGAAGTGCAGAATTTAACCTGGGATAAAGCAAGAAAATTACTTACTAGAATGTGGAGGGACTTTATAACAAAAATGATGATTTGTAGTTTTGACATTATTGTTTTATTTGAAATGTGGGTTGGGAAGAAATGGGAATCATCATGGGTGAAACAACTAAATGATGGATATGAATGGTATTTTAAGGAAGCTGTCAAATGGGACATGAGGAGAATGAGATCCTTAGGACTCAGTAGTACTATAAATAGAACCCAATTAAAAGATGAGAGTTTGTAGCTAACCTGGAACAATGTTATTAGTGGAAAATAAAAAATGAGAAAGATAAACAATGGAGAATACAACTCCTGAAGGAAATTTTTAAGATGAGTACCAAATAAATTAAGATTAAACATAAGACAGGAAGTAAAAAGAAACATTACAAGGATAGTGAATACAAACAAAGTGAGAGACTTTTGAGAAGATTCCTGAGACAACTTAGAAAGAAGTTGATTGGACTCGTTATATTATAGTGAGAAGAAACCTCGGGATGAGATATTGGGAAATGCAAAATCAGATGAAAGAAAGGATTTGAAAGGAAATCAAGAAGAGTAAACTCTTCTGGCAACATGCTAATAAATTTGGAAAGCAAGAGGTTAAACTATGCACCACTGGGGAGAACACTGTGCAATTATTAGAAACAGAAGAGATGAGTAGCAGCAATTGATGGTGAGAACTCCAACATCTAGTGTTATCATTTGAAAATAATGAATGAGATACTGAATTTGAAGGAGAAGAATTGACAGAGTCAATTAAGAAACTGAAGAATGGCAAGTTGCTGAGTGGGACAGGGTGCATATATATCCTTGAAAGTCCTTGAAATTGAGAATGGAATTGGAAGGGCTTGAAAGTGCTTGAAAAGGGCCTTTTTTTTTTGCAAAACTGCTTGCATGTATTATAACAATAGACTATATTGATATATCTAACTTTAATGCATGTTGTGGAGTTAAGTGCAGTAATTAAAGTCTTTCTTTTCTTTCATATGTTCAACAAATAAATATGAATTTTATAAAATTTCAGTGGAATCCGATTGATTTTGATGTAGATTGTAGCTTCCAAAAAGTGCTTGATAAACATTTTGAGAGTGCTTAGAAACAGAAATTGATCTGAGCAAATCAGTATGAACCATGGTGAGAACATGAATATCAACAAATTTTATATGGCACTTATGCAGGAAATGAAGAGGATTTTTTGCAACCACTCAGTGAGATCTGAAAGAGTGGGGTCTGCTCTGACAGTTGGAGTGATGGACTAATTTGCCCAATCTACAAGACTGGCAAAAAAAGGCAACCCAAAGAATTGTAGAGGAATCATGTCACTTAACTCTCTGCACAAGACATTGGCCAGCATGATGACTACATGGCTCATGAACTGGCTCAACAAAGAAAGGCTAATTAAGGAAAACCAAGCAGGATTAAAGAAAAATTGTGACATGACATTTTTGTGTTCAGTACACTAATTGAAAATAAGCTAAGAAGATTGTATGCATGGTGTAGTGACTTTAGAGCAACTTTTTAACAAGGTCAGTAGGAAGAAGCTGTGCAAAAAGATCTGGAAAATGGGGATTAGAGAAAGAATGCACAGGATGATCGAGAGTGTTTACAAGGAAAGAAGGAACATCATCAAGAGGATGATTGGATAAGTTTTGGACTTCAAAAGAAGTGAGACAAAAAAGTCCATTAAGCCCAGTGTTATTTAGTATTTTTATCATTTATTGGGAAGATGAATGGATTACGAGGAATATTGGAGGAATTGTTATTGGAAAAAAATAACTGATCTTAAATTTGTGGTTGACATTGTTGCACTGGCTGATAATAGAAATGACATGAGAGAAGTGGTTAAATTCTGTGAAAAATATGTGGAAAGAAATTATCTGGTTACTGATCTGGAAATATCAGAGATGATGGCATTCCATAAAGGAAGCTTAGTAAAGAAGATAGCTGATCATAGAAAGGTCAGCTTATTGAGGTGGTCAACATGTCCAAATGCTTGGGAGTTTGGTTTTCTACAAAAAATGTTGTAACACAAAACACATTAAGTGGCAAATTGGAAAGGCTCAAATGATCATCAATACGGTATGGAGTTGAATGAAAATAAGTGTGATGTATGGGCATAACAGTAATATATATCTTTTTAATACTTTGATTCAGAAGGTTTTGTTGTATGGAGTAGAAGCTTGAGGCTGGAATGAAAATGAAGAGCTTAAAAAATGCAAAATAACATATATGAAGAGAATTTTAAACTTTGACAGAAATATACCCAATTACTTGTGGAGAATGGACAAGTATGGATTACAAAGCAGTCAGAAAAATGTCAAACATGTTATTAGAGTTTTGAAAATTATGGAAGATAGATACCCAAAGATTTGTTTGAAAGAGATGGTGAAATTAATGGACCGTATTGAAAAACCTACATGGCTCACTTTCTTTATCAAGTGACTAAACCAGGTGGAAAGTTGGAAAGTGATCCAACTCGTGAAAGAAGAAGCCTTGTTGGAAAAAATCATGAAAGCATAACAAGAGGTGCTTCAGAAAATGCTTGAGTAAGAAATCAAAGTAATGTGGACTAGAATTGGTAATTCAACATAAATAACTTTTATAAAGATATTAAGAACTTAATCAGAAGATAAAATTACTTGATGATGATAAAAGTAGTGCGACCAGTGTAATTGTATGATAGGGACTATGGTGTGGAAGTGAGCACAAGAGTAGAAAAAACTGGTCACTAAATGATCAAAGATGAGGAACTCATAACCAGGAAGAAACAACTATTAATCATATATTTAAGGCCCCATATATGAGGAGCAATCCAACATGGAACTCAATAATGCAAGGGTTGGAAGAAAAAAAAGCTAATTGGTGGAAACAACTATTACAGAATAAACTAATAGTTGCTTCCATCAATCAACTCTTTTTTTATTACAGAATAAACTGGACTTAGATATTTGTAAACATATTTTAGCATGTACAAAATGAAATAATGAATAATTTTATTAAAGAGTGTAACAAACACCCCTTCCTAAGAAATTGTAAATTTTGTGGAATAAATTAAACAAATCATCTGTTTTTTTTTCCATCACAAATTGACATGTGGGATCACCCTCAGAACTGGACTTTTCAGTTGTGTAGCATTCTTTCCTTCCCACTCCTTTCATTTTTCAACCGCTGCGGTATACTAACAAAAATGGCTACTTATCACTGTTGGTCTCCCCTCTGACAATTCACCACTACCATCCTACCTTATTTTACCTCACCTCTTTCTCTATTTGGCTGTTCAATTGCAGCTTGTCTGTTTCTACTATTGCAGGGTATTGGGCTGACCTGTCTACAATGTTCTGCCTTTACCATTTCTTCAAAGGTTTTATTTTCCTCCTCTGTCCTTTGCTCCTTCTTCATGCACAAACCTTTTATTCCCACTCCATTACCAGACTAGGACTTGAATGTCATTCTTCATGCTCTCACTTTGAACCCCATGTTATTTGCTCTCTCTCTCAAAACTTGTTTCTTTCTCCTTCTTGCATGTGGTCGTTGCTTTTCTGAAGTTTATGCCATAGACTTCTCCTGGGGCTCTCTTCTACCACTCATACATTCTTCTCTATCCAGACCATTCCTTTCTACTTAAAACTTTGACTGCTATCGAAGGTGGTGCTACATTTTCTTCTATCTTCCATATCTATTAATGTTCAGACCTGGACAGACTCCTGTGCCCTGTATGGGCCATTTGTTGTTGTCTCTCTTGTACTTCTTCCATCAGAGGTTCCTACCTCTATCTGTTCATTCCTTGGGACCCATTTTCTACTTGACCTCCTACTGGATGGATCTGCCAATTCATCTGAGTTGTTTATTTTTTGGGGAATGGATATGCATAGACTATTTTGAGTCTCCTCTCACCAGATTCGGCACCTGACTCATTCTCTGGCATTCATGTGGACTACCTCACACGCTTCTGTTTCCAACTACCTTCATCATTTTGCTGCTTAATCTTCAGAAGGATACAGATGTCTACCAATTACTATTCTTCAATTGACCCTGAGCCTTTAACCCTATTGCAGTGGGTCATGTGTTAAAGGCCATGTCATCGTGTTTGTTGACTTGCATTCAAAATTTGATTGAACTACTATTTTATGAATTTATGTCAATAAGTTTGGTATCAAATTGTAGATTATAATTCAAATTTTAGTATTATAAATTAGTTAATTTCTTAATATAAAAGTAAATATAAAAATAACACAGCTAAAATCGATTTTGTGTGTCACGTAGTATGGTAATGCAGCACTGGTTCAAATTAGATGTTTGTGATGTCAAAATACTAAGTCTGTAGTTTCGTACAAATTAAGAACTCAAACTACCAATATTGACAAACTAAAATATAAAATAAGAGCCTCTTATCTTTCCTATTTGCTAAGATACTGCTCATGTACTGAATTAAACACAATGACCCTCTACCTACCTCTTTACATTTTTGGAAATGCTCCCTTATATACTAAGCTTCAGCTGGGGCCGGGTTCTCCCCTTGCCCCTCCCCCTTAAAAAACAACATATACAAAAATTAGAAACAAAAAAAATTGACATTTATTACATTTAACCAAATAATCACCAACAGAATGTTCACATTTAATTTCAAATTTCAATGTGTAGCCCCAACTTCTCAAACCCTAACCCCTTATTGTTCTCAAAACCCCCACCTTCCCCAGAAATCTACTTCTCAAGCCATGCCTGTTATTAACCCCTATTGTTTTCTAAATCCCCGACTTTCAGCAGACAGTCAGTTTTTGTTGCTCGGAACTTGTTTTTTTATAACTAAACCAATTATTGACTGTAACTTTTAGTACTGTGTTAGTTGCCACAAAGATTATGGTTTAGATGCCTAACTTCGATACTCGGCCAGAGCCAAGTATTACCGGGTAGTCCAATACCCAGCTGGGGACGATTATCTGGCCAGGTACCCATGCACCCCTACCTACTTCTATATATGACATGAATAACCAATCGAAAGCTCTGAATGTCCCCATAGTAGTTTTCTCAGCCATTTTGATATGTTATTGTTTTAATCTTGTTCTTTTCACACAAGATTTCAAACAATAAGATAAATCTGTAGTGAGCTCGAAATTTCATATATTTTTTAGACCCAAATACATCTTAGTTACTACACTTGATAAATTATTATGGAATTCTATGGTATCAGTATAGTAATTTATGATTTTTTTTTGGGTTATTTATAATGTATATATAAAACCTAAAAAAAATTTTCTTCACACATCCTCCATGTGGTAAATTTCATAAGTCTTAGCAACCTATGACAAACAGCAAATGAGTACAAAGTTCATAACTAGAAGAGATAATTGTTTGCTTTACTTCTTTATTTACTGTTCTATATTTTTAGAAAAATAAGTTTAAGAACTTATTTGTAAACAATATTAATGTATATAATGTATAATAATTGAAATGTGACTGTATTTTACAAAATATTAGTCCACTAAAACACAGCCGAGACAGGTAATTTTGTAAAGACTAAAGGTAAATTTTATATTATTGGATACAGTATCATGAGTGCACATGTGCTTGGTCATTGTAACTTCTGTATTGTTAGCCAGGCATGGCTGGAAGGTCAATATAATGAAAATGATAAATATATATATATATATATA